TTCCTATCTCACCTTAGGTCTCCAAGTCTGGAGAAAGTCTGTAAGTTAACAATTTTCATACATATATTTATTATCTGACAGTTCCTGTGGTCTAGGAACCTGAGCCAGTAGCCATCTGAGCTTAGAAGTGGATGCTTCAATCGGTGCTGGAGAGATGGCTCAGCAGTTAAGAAGCCTGACTGTTCTTGCAGAAGACCTGGGTTCGATTCCTAGCACCCACATGGCAGCTAACAACTGTCTGTAACTCCAGTCCCAGGGGATCCGACAGGCTCTTCTGACCTCTGCGGGCATTGCACGACACGGGTGCACTTACCTACATGCAGGCAATACATGCATACACATAAAATAAAAATAATAAAATATTTTTTAAAAAGTGGGTGCTTCTGTAGTCAAATTTAGATGAGATTCTATCTGAAGCCAGGGCCTGGATGCAGTCCTGTGAGCATTGCTGAACCAGAAGATTATGCTAAGCTCTACCCAAATTGTTGGCCCACAGAAATTAAGATAATAGAATGTGTCTCCATAGCGAATGGGGCTACAGGGAGACCCTGTCTCAAAAAGGTCAAAAAGAAAAAAAAGCTAATAAAATGTGTAGAGTTATAGTTTCAATAGATAATACCACATTTCAACTTTCACCACATAAGTTTCTAGTAGCTGAAAAAAGACAAAATTTTAATTATATTTTAAAAGCAAAGACAATTCTCAAGTATAAAGCAAATAGAAGATTTGGCTGTCTTTTGGATTTATTTTTGTGTATATGTGCATGCCCATATGTGAGCATTTGGAGGTCAGGGGTTGACACTGGCTGTCTTCATTAATTGCTTTCAACCTTCGCTTTTGCAACAGCATCTGTCACAAAACCAGGAACATGCTGTTTCAGCTAGACTGACTGGTCAACAAGCCCCAGAATCTCCCTGACTCTGCATTCCCAGTGCTTAGGTTACTGGCATATGCCACTATGTGCCTGATTTTTTATGTAGGTGCCAAGGATCTGAACTCTGGTCTTCATGCTAGGGTAGCAAGCACTTTACCCACTGAACCATCTCCTCAGCCAGCTAGACTTTTAGATTTAATTCCATTAAAGAAACAAGTTCTTACCTGATAACTAAACCTAATTCCATAATCACTGGAATAATCTGCTCAGCAATCTCATCTACACTGCTAGTATCTTAGTCCTACACTTTTCTAACCTATCTCTAGAATAGTTTTTCCTAGATGCAAGCGATAAGGATGTAGTGAGAGAAGGTGCAAGTCATATGGCATCATATGCTTTCATTCTATATTATGAAAACTAGAAAATCTGGAGTGTGTCCTTCTAAAATGACTGTTACACAAAGCAGAACAGGGAGCTGGCAACAGGAAAATCAATATTAGCACTTACTGATCATTTTTATATGTTTGTGTGTCAATATATATTATAGACCAATGAAGTAAAATGTCTCAAATGGTTTGAGAGGGGGAAGGATTCTAGACAAATCTGGAGGTTGTTCCAGCACTAGGCTCTGTCCCTGGATTCCTATGCAGCTAAAACTTAATCCACATATACACTCAACTAACAAATACTTACCTAACACTAATTGGGTATTGTGAAACAAAGAATAAATCATATTTGGCCACTACCTCATACAGTGTATGCTTTAGTAGGGAACATAGACAAGTAATGGGATCTGATGTAGTGTTTGCATTAAATTTTGTATCTGTCATGGGAGAACAAAGAAAAATGCTTAATTCAAGGTGAAAGTGAACATGGTAGTTATGTTAGGAAGATGTCGCAGTTGAAATGGTATTTAAAATTGAACCTCAAGGGTGATAAGGAACTAAATAGAGCGGGGTGGTAAAAACCACAGGAGAATAACATCTGCAAAAGTGCTAAAGCAAAACAGAAGATGACACATTTGAGTGAGTAGCCTTCTGAGTAGAGGACAGAGTGTGGCCAGATAGGATGTGAAGAGAAGGATGGAAAGACCTTATTATACAAGGTCTCATAGATCATACAGCAGAGCTTAGCTCTTATTTAATGGAAGCACAAAACTACTGAAGGGCTTTAAGCAGAAGAATAAAATAAACTCATTCTTCCATAACTCCTAATATACAGAAAAACTTGTTTAATTTCTGAAAAAATAACTTTTGCAGCATGGTAAAAAGTACACAAGGATACATAATTAGCTAGGAGTGGTGGTGCATGCCTGTAAACTCAGCACTTAGGAGATGGAGGCAGGAGGATCAGGAATTCAATAACAGCCTGAACTACACAGTTTCAGGCCAGCCTGAGCAATATGAAATCCTGTCTCGAAATCACTGCCCTAACAAAAAGAACAAAAGAAACACATATTCGCAATTACTGAATGGAAGGCATAGTGGTGGTACACTCTTGCAACCTCAGAACTTGTAAGCTAAGGCAGAAGAATTACCAGTTTGAGGATAGCCTGGGCCACATAGTGAGTTCCAGACCAGCCTGGGAGAAAAACAAACAAAACAAAACAATAACAAGAACTGTAAAATATCCACAAATTCTCTCCTCTTAGTAAAAAAATGTATAAAAACTGTATGTAAGAAGCCAGAACATTTTGACAAAATAAATCCAAAAATACTAGAACAAATTAATACCCCTGGATGTGGAAACACAATTGTTAAACTAATTTTTCTTATTAATCTAGAAATGTAGTACAATTCTTATATATAATCCAAATACATTCTTTAAGAGTAATTTACAAGCTATACATTTATCTGTAAAATTAAATGCACAAGACTATGGTTTGAAAAAGAAAAAAGTGGTACAGCCTGCCTTGCCACAAACAAAAAAAAAATGTCAAAAGCTCAGTAATTGAAAAAGTATGTAAAACCAAAAAAACTCAAGAGGATTGTAAGCTAGATTGTATCTTCTAAACAGATATGTTCAAATTCAAACGCTGTCATGTATGCATGTTACCGCAGTTTAAAGTAGTGTCTTTGCAAATGTAATTCAAATTAGGTTATTCTGAATAGGACAGGCCCTGATTCAATGACTGGCATCCTATGAGAAGAGGGAAATCTGAACACGGAGAGACAAACAAGAATACTTTGTAATGACCGAGATAGATATTAGGATGATATGTCTATAAGTCAGTGTTCAGGATTACTGGCAATCACCAGAAGTTGGAACAGGCAAGGAAGGATCCTCCCCTAGAGGTGCCAGAGACATCAGTTATGTGGAAACTTTTATGTCAGACTTTCAACTTCCTAAACTGAGAGAATAAATTTCTGTTGTTTTAAGCTTTGGTTTGTGCAAATTTGCTATGGCAACCCTAGGAAACTTAAATAGGGTATAAAAATGAATTAAAATATACTAAATATACTAAAAGAGGTATGAGTATAAAATGAATTTTATTTATTCAACAAATAGGATAACAGGCTATCTACTTGAAAAGAAAAGTCAAATTTCTGCTTTATATCATATGTTAAAATTCCAAATGGATCACAGATCTAAATGTAAAACAGAACAAAACAAAACAAACCACCAACATAACAAAAAAGAGTAGTAGGTCAAATCTAAAAGGATAGTTTTATAACAGGGATGGATATTCAAATCAAAACATGAAATCCAGAAGTCAAGCATGGTAATTTAAAAATAAAAACTTCTCTCTATATACATTTGATATGAGACACAAAATCAATGTTTAAAAATGTACAATAGGCATAGAGTTTATATCCAGAACATATTCAGAGATTGTACAACCCCCCCAAAGAAATAAGTAATCCAAAAGAAAATCAAGAGACACATAAAATACAAAGGCCAATAATATGTGGGTACTTAATCTAATAATCACATTAGATGCAAATTAAAATGAGAGAGTATTATATATGTACAATGGTTCATAAAAAGATTTTCTGATAATATGCAGCGTAGAATAGGGAAGGGTCGAACAAGTATTCTCATATACTGAAATGTTTACAATATTTTTTGATGGTATTTGGTAATGTCTATTGAAATTTAAATGTTTTGACCCTTTATCTCAACACAACCTTTTTTTGTATTCTACTGAAATGTAAGTTTACGAAAATAAATAGGGGAAATTACATTAAATATAAGATGTGTATAAAATAGAATACTATATAACCATTTAAAAAGAGGTAACCATTTAAGAGCTGGAGAGATAGGTCAGTGGTTAAGAGCAACGGCTGATCTTGCAGAGGACCTGGGTTCATTTCCCAGCATGCACATGCCAGCTAAGAACCATCCATAATTCCAGTTCCAGGGGATCTGAACTCCCTCTTCTGACCTCCGTGGGTATTGCATGACATGAGTGCACTTACAAACATGCACGCAATATACTTATGCATATTTTTATACACATAAAAATAATAAGAAATAAAATATTGAAAAAGAGATAACCATTTAAAAAGAGGTAGATATATGTTGTGAAAAGATGTTGAAAACATGTCAGTGAAAAGAGCAAGTTACACAATATATGAATTTTGTAAACTAATAACTATCACATGCATCAACAATAAAATGGATATCCTGGGGAGATTGGGAACTTTATTATTTATGTGCATTTAATGAGTATCTATTGTGTGCCAAGTTCTGGATATTGGGGATTCAGTATTGAACAAGGAAAAAAAGAAAAGAAAATGATTGATAGCCAATTTTGTGTTAAATATTTCTTTAAAGAATGACTTTAAGGTGTATGTATATAAACACACATTCACATATGTAACAGAATCTCTCTTTGTATCCCAAGCTGGCCTGGAACATGTTACTAGCCCAGGCTGGTGTCAAACTTATGATTCTGTTGCTTCTACCTCCTGAGTGCTGGGATTACAGGCCTGTGGCACCAGGCCCATTCTTTTAAAACAAATCTTAACATTTGGAAAGGTCAGTGGCATATCCTGGTAAAAGTAATGTGAAAGCATCAATAAGTATCTTACATTGTATAAAATGATTGAGTGCTCAGTTTAAAATTAAGAATTTTATAGTACGTGATTTTTCTTTATCCTTTGTGACACAGTATTTTACTTACAGTTTGTGGATTAATCTCCTCCTCTCCCATAGGTTCATCCATAATTTGCTGTCCATTCTGTGAAAAGCACAGCAAATAGAAAGTTACCCGAACAGATTTCACTCCAAAGTTAAATGAAGACAGATTAAAAAAAAATCATTGTTTAGGAATATTTATACCACTAAGGGACTCTAGTGAAGTAGAACCACCATCTAAGAATGCAGGTACAACTTTGCAACAAGTTGTGCTTCAAAAGTACATAGGGAAGTTAATTATTCAAAACTGTCTAAACACCTTTCCATGGAAATAATAAATGATGGTTACCATTCCAGGTGAGCTCTTGGGTTTCATAGGCAAATGCATTACAAATGATCTTAGTTAAGCCTCACCAAACATCATTTATAATACTTTGTATAGTAAAACACATTCTTAAACTCCAAATCTGTTAATAATTAATCAGAGAAGCTGATTAATTATGAAAGAAAATTATGCTCAACCTACATTAAAATAAATTTCAGATAGACTAAACATTTAAATGTAAAAAAATTATGTAAGCATTATAATAATGGGTGAATAATAATTAGAAGAGTGGAAATTATGAAGAAAAAAATGAAATTTGCATCCATTAAAGTTATTCTGCCACACACACAAAAGGTAAGACAAACTGATTACAAAAAGGAGAAAGCAACATGACAAAAAGTTTTTATCCTTGATACATAAAGATCTTTGTTTTACAAACCTGTAAGAAAAAACGATGAACCTCAACAGAAATGAGCAATAAAGGAAAAAGAATTCAGCCTTAGTGCCAATAATAGAAATGCATTTAACCCAAAGATACCTTTTGCCTTTTCAAATTGGTAATGGCTTATAATAAAACAAACATAACACTCAGTGCTAATATGAGCATGAGGAAAGCACTTCAGGTTTACTGGTGGAGAAAATGTAAATCAGCACAATCTTTCAGGACAACAATATGAGTCTGTATCAAAAACATATCACACAGGAAAATCTAACATTTCCCATCTATTCTACTTCTTTAAAAATGGACAAGTGTACAAAGATGTATACACAAGAATGCTCACCATAATTTTTTTCCAACAAGAACTCCAAATTGGAAGCCTAAATTCCTAACAATAGAGAACTAGTTAAATAGAGTATGATACATCCATACAATGGAATACTATGTGGTCATTAAAATGATGGTAAAATGCAAATTTACTGACATGGAAAGACAGTCACATGTAATAAGTAAAAAGCAGTTTACAAAACAATATGGATTATAACAATCCCATTTTAAACAAATATATGCATCTTTTAATGTATATATTTGAATGGGAAAAACTTTGGAAGGATATACATCAAAATGTTAAGAATGGCTATCTCCGAGTGGTAGAATTTCAGAAAATTTAAATTTTATTTGTTTATTTGAATATTATAATGTGTCCACAGTATCTATAATGAATATGTATTATTTGGGTAATCGAAGAATAAATAGCAGGGGGTGGTAGCTTATGCCTATGATCCCAGCACTTGGGAGCTTAAAGCAGGAGGTCTGTAAATTAGAGGCCAGCCTGAACTATACAGCAAGCCTCTATCTATAAAAACAAAAACCCTAAAACACCCAAACCAAAAACAACTGAAGTCAGATATATATTATCTCACTGGAAAAAAAAGTAATAGGCCTGTAACTTCTTGTTAATTAAACAAATGTATCAGGATCTAAACGAATCATTTTTAGAGCATTTTAAACTGTGAAGAAAAAGGCAACCCCCATCACCACATAAGGTAGTTTCTCTGAATTTGAATTCTATCCCCCTGTTCTCCCTATCTTTTTACCATTCATTCATTCATTCATTCATTCATTTGTACTGTGCTCTTGGGTACTGACCTGGAGAAAAAAAAATAAAGAAAACATATCTTTTATCCTAAAAGTTCTACCTGACCTACATTTCTAGGGTAAGGACTGTTTATACAATATCATAAAGCACAAAACTGGTGCCAAAATGAGGGAAAAGGAAGGGACGTGTATAAAAATCTTAGTTTCCCTGATACACTTTCAGAAGCTACAATATTTCCACTTATATGGTCAGGGCATCCAAACTATCTCCAAGATACTTGTTTCTCCTAAAAGTTATGATCATTTATTCAACTGAATACTGATTGTTTTTAATTCAAGGACCCCAAGGAAACCTTAAATTAAATCTTAAGAACACTGACTTGGAGCCAAGCATGTAGATTCAAAATCCTGTATGTTACCAATGATTAAGTCTTGGACAAGTTATTTAAAGCATACGTTTTAGCTTCTTAACATGGAAAGTAATGATGTAAGGAGTATTATTCAGAGAACTGTGAAAACTAAACAAAAATTATATAAAACCTAAGCTGAGTACCTGGCACTTAGCAAACAATCAGTGTTATTTATTTTTTTACTGTGTTCGAAATTCAATCATCCCATCTGTGCCTGACCAGATTGGACACCTTTTCTGTATTTTCGCTCTTAGTGAATGGCATCATCTATTAATTTAAACTATTTCTCATTAGTTATAAAGTTACCTTTCTCCATTACTTGAGTTTTACAGTTCTTGATATAATTGGAGCTACACTTATATTTTCCATGGGAATAGAATTTGAGAATCATCTCCTTCTTGTAAATTCAATGCATACAAAACAAGCACCACAATTTATAAATTATTTTAAAATACACTGGTACAACAGGAATAGCACTGGACTTGGAATTTGTAGGTGAGAGGTAAAGAAATATAGACTTGTCACTTACAAGCTTGATGATTTGGGGAAATCAGACTTTCTCCGAGTGGATCATTTTATCTGTTCAAATGAGGGTCACTTGCCCTGTCTATCTAAAGGGTTATTTGACTCAAAATTGAAATAACTCAGAAGAAAGCACTTTAGCAGTTAAAAGAACTATACCAATGAAAATTCTTTTAAAAATGAGATAGCTCCAGAAGGATAAAATGAAACAACAGGGTCATTTTGACCTTAGAGTTTAAAAAGTAGAATCAGAAAAAGGTCCTGAAAGTCTTCTGTTCCAACTGTACATAATTATTTTAAAGTCCTTTACCCTGTTTGTACCTATGCTCAAATAATAAGGAAAAGAATACAGACTTACCAGACAGCCTACTATTATAATGTCTCAGAAAACATTATACAGGAATTTTCCTCAGTCACAAATTCCACTTAAGAGGATTACTAATAAATGAAGACTAACTTGCCTATAGATTATCTGCAAAGTCATAGGCTGTAAATTAATATCTACGCCTATAGGATACCTTAAGCCTTGTCTCTCCCAGATAACTCAGTTTTTTCAAATATTTAAAGAGAGATGAGACTTGCCATTCTCTTTTTTGAGTACACTAATTCATCTTAAAGAGTGATATATGGAAATGCATGCAATTAACATTCCAACTCTGGGGAGACCAATGCAGAAATAGAACATATTACCTGTTCTGTCTTAGATAATAAACGTTTATTAATGTTGTTCACATTTGGATTATTTTGGATACACCCTAACATACTGACATACACTGTTTTCTGTTGATTTAGTTTTTTTATTTACTTTTTAAATTTTTTTTTATTTTATTTTATGTGTATGAGTGTATTTCCTGCATGCATGTATATAAGTGCACCCATGTTGTGCAATTCCTGTGGAGGTCAGAAGAGGGCATGTTATCCCCTGCACTGGAGTTATGGATGGTTGTTAGCCGCCATGTGGGCACTGGGAATCAAACTCGGGTCCTCTGCAAGAGCAGCCACTGCTTAACTGCTGAGCTCTCTCTGCAGCCGTAAGTTTACTTTTAATTGTGTCCATGTGTATATTTGTGTGTGGGTATGTGCACATGTGTCCAAGTGCTGGTGGAGGTCAGAGGTATATCTCCTGGAGTTTTAATTACAGGCAGTGGTGATGGGAACCAAACTTGGGTCTTTTGCAAGAACAAAAAATGTTCTAAACTGTTGACTCACCTGTCTAGTCCTAACATACATACATACATACATACATACATACATACATAATACATACATACTTCCTTTATTATTATTTATTTATTTATTTAGTGTGTATGGGGTCTGTACATGCCATGGCATATGTGTGAAGGTCAGAGGACAACACAAGGGAGTGAATTCTCTCCTTTTATTATGTAGGTCCCAGGGATCAAAATCAGGTCATCAGGCCTGGTGCCTTTCCCCACCAAGTCATCTGGTGGGCCCTTTTCTTTACTTACAATACAACTTAGTTTGTGCCAACAATATGTTGGGGTATAGCCAAAATACTGTATCATTTTTCTTGAACCTATTGTTACTCTTAGTCCCATAAACAAAGACTTACTTAATTTTTTGATTCATGTTTCTTCTAGCTATGATCTATTGCTACAGTTTCTACAGATTGGAATAGAAAATGTGCAAACCTCCATTATTTTCAACTTCACGCCATCCCATAAGTTCTTACAATGTATTATTCTTTCTGAACTATTTAGATAATTAACAGTATAAACAAACATGCCAAGAAAAAAATTTAAGTGAAATATAATCCAAAAGGTAGTCTATTCTCCAGTGAAAGACTGGAAACTTGGAACTTCATCATTGAAGTAGGAAAATTTGAAGGCGAATGTTATCCCACATAACAGAGCAACTTTACAAACGTTTTTTCACACTAAAAACACCTTTGTTTCAATGAACCTCTTGTATCATTTCATCAAAACAAGGAATCAAGTATTTCAATTAGAAATGAATATAAAAATACTTCTGCAATCTGTTAAGAAGTTTGTTTCTGTTTTGAAAAATGACCCTTGGTTATCATTAGAGATTAGGGTAATTAGATTATCAATCTGATTCAATGTTATCATTTCTACACTTCCTAAAGTTCAAGTAATAGTGCCTAGTAAACAAGAAAACATATTTTTCTAATTTTAAGAATTAGCTGGGCGTGGTGGCACACACCTTTAATCCCAGCACTTAGGAGGCAGAGGCAGGCAGATCTTTGTGAGTTCAAGGCCAGCCTGGTCTACATAGTGAGTTCCAGGACAGCTGGGGCTACAGGGAGACCCTGTCTCAAAAAGACCAAAAAAAAAAAAAAAAAAAAAAGAATTAAAAAATATACTCTAAACCTGGCCAGTACTAATTTTTAAACCCTAGGTATGTCACATACTGGTGTAGTTACCTGAACTTTGGTTAAGTTACTTAAAAATTTGAGCTGCAGGTTCTCAATGCATAAGATGTACATAATGCCTAGCTCACAGGGATACCGTAATTAGAAGGATCCATCAAAGGACAGTAAATACTACCTTTTTTTCTTTTGCCTCAAATTACTATGTAATGTTTGTATTTCTACGTCTTTAATTTGTAAAGATGTAATGCTATGAAGTATAGGGGGGGTTGCCTGTCTTAACCACTGACAGCAGTTAATTTCCTGTGAAGCAGGATAGAAGACCCCATTCATACATGTGCTACATTTCTGTACAGTGTGGCTAAAGAATGAGTATGGACAGAAAATAGTTTAAAAGTGAGGCAAATGTATTTATCCTCTCTCATCCCACCATAATGCCTGCCAGCCAAAAAACTGCAGAGCTTGGCAGATTGTACAAATGCAAATATGATGTAAAGTACTGGAAAAAGTTAGGGAATTCTAATTATGCTTTTACTTTGTTAATTTGAAATGTGTAAAAGTCACAAATTCGAATCACTTACGATGAGTCTGATCAGAACAAATAAGATAAGGGAGACTGTTCGCTTCAGTTTCAGCAGGAATTGTTTTTGAAACTACTCCCAATGTTGCATAAAATTATCACTTCAGATCATCTTTTAGGTTTAGTAATGAAGAACAATTTAATCAGTAACTCTGAACTGAAGTTTCAACACCTCTACAGTAGTCCCAAGTATTTTAAGGGAAATGATGTTATATTAAAAATAAGACTATTTTTTTTAATTTAAAATGTTCCATTTTTAGCAACCCTATCACGCAATTATGCTGTTGCAATGACGTTATAATGTATATTCCCAGACTGTTGTCTGGTATCTCTCGAAAAAAATTTAAGAATAAGGTAACTTCAAAAAATTCTTTGAATCCAAAAGGAGAGCATCTTGTACAAGTATCCTAGGACTAAGAAACAATCTGTGACTGATGAAATTCGACCTTTACCTCTTTGTAGGACATACCAACTATTAACATTCTCTTACCTAGAAATGGAATATGCATATGAACACTGGGAAGAAAGGATTATTCATAGAGAATAACAATCTGAAATAACAGGAAAGGAAGAAGAAAAGGGTCAAGAGCCATAGTATATTAATACAGAGACCCATGTTGTAGGAAGGAGTAAGGACCGTACTTCTTTTTTTGTAAAACCACTCTCCAATTTCCACAAATATATGTGCCTTCCAAATTCCCTGAGACCATCAGTGGTTTTTTTGTTTAAAGTGTATGAGGCAGAAGTTTCATTATGAAGGTTCAGAGTATGAGGCATCAGAAACCTCTTTCCAACTTTGGTCAAGATACCTTTTATTGTTCAGAATCCAAAGAATCGTCTATGCAATCACATTGAAACAATAAGAAACAAGCATTTCATAGTCTTAATAAGGAATGTATATAATCCTTACCAATGTGACAGGATTAAGAATCAGCTCCTCATTTATCCTAAGGAAATATCAGAGATGTGCATAAAGACTTATGTACAGTGATAGTCATCATACTCATTATACTGTAAAATACAAAACACTCTAAATGACCAACAGGGGACTAGTTAAATAAATAATACATCTATTCATATGTAGGAATACTATGCAATGGTTAAAATCAGGGCCTCAATGAAAAATTAATGATGTAAAATATGCTTCCAATATATTAAATTAAAAAGGATATAAAACTCTAAGTATGACCCCAATTCCATACCCTCCCTCCCAACATGGGTGCATGTAACTGGCAAAACACAAAATCTTATCAGTAGTTACCTGGGCCATAGGATTTTCTTCTTTGTATTGCCTTTTCAAAATTATATTCATTTATATTATTTTTTTATAAAGAGAAGAACAATAAATGTAATTAGAAAAATCGGTTTATCTTCTAGTTACAGTGCTGTTATGTCTGTTTTACTAACTTTCTTGCTACCAAAAATCTGCTAGTATTCAAGACTGCTCTATTTTCTAGGCTAGGGAGGAATGACCTCTGGTTAGATCTATACTTTTAAGTTTATGAGGACCCTTTCTAATGTTTTTATTTAGCTTTTTCTGGTCCTATGGTTGTGGCCTCAGAAAATAAAGTTTAGGCCTAAATCCACCTCATCTTTTTTGAAGTGTACCCCTAAGGGAAATTCTGTTTATGAAACAAGGTATGTTGAGATAAGAATAAAGAAATGAAAACACAGTAGCCAAAATTAAGTATGTATTGTGAACAGCAAGTATCAGAGCACACACTGCAGAAAACAGAATCCATGACACAAAAGACAAACTTGAATAAATGAAAAAAGAAAGAAAAAAAGATTTTAAAACGATGGAAGACACAGAAATAATCTACGAACAACAAATGTTCCTAAGAAAAAAAAACAGAGCAGTTTAATCAATCAAAACTATAAGAAAACTTTCCAGTTCTGAAAAAAAAATACCTGAGACTGCAGCCTGAGAAGGTTCAACAGAGATCATCAACACCAAGACATGTCCTGGCAAATGTTTTTAAATTTCAAGGATAAAGATATAATCCTATAAGCATACAAGCAGAGAAAAATAGGTTATTTCAAAGAAACTAAAATCAGATTGACCTCAGATTTCTCCACTCCAACAGTAAAACACCAGAAGACAATGAAGTAATGACCTACAGAGACTGAAAGGAAAAAGTTAAGATCTAAGGATTTTATACCTCACCCTAGTTTTTCATGTACAAAAGTCACAGGAAATTATTCTTAGATCTGCAAAGTATTATTAAATGTCATCATCTTGGTAGTATCTTTTAAAAATAAACTGTTCAAAGGCACATCCTGGACCATTTAAGAGAATACAAAAGAGCTCAAGAATATTAAGGTAGGAAAGAACCAATGAAGTATATAGACACCAACTTAATATCCAGAAATAATTGAATAAATTAATCCCACTAAAGGAAAAAAATGTAAAAAGTGGAGAGTAACTGATATGTGTATAAACAATGTAAAGGAAAGGTACTTTAGGAAGTTAAGATTTGTAACCTCAAGCTAACTTAATATGGACTCAAATGAGGTAGCAGGAGAAGTAAAAATTCTAAATTCTCCATCTTCCTAAAAGTATAGTTACTACCCATTATTTTTAGTACTTATATAATAAATTTTGAGATGTTTAGAAAAACCACACAATAATAAAAAAGATGGTTATTACAGTTCAAATCACTAGAGGTGATAAGTGGCACACACTCTTGATAGTACTTATGTAGGCATCATATTTAACCCTAAGAATATGAGGTAAGTATAATTACCCTACTTCACAGTTGAAACCAAGGCTTAGCAAATTAGCCACTGAATGGCAGAAGTGGGACCCAAATCCAGGTCTTTCCAGCTCTGTAAGTCTTTATGTTATCTTCACAACTTTCAAACAAAACATTCCTTATGGCAGAAGAAAAAAAATTCACAAGGAATTATACAAAATGACAGAAACCATTCTAAAGGGATGTAAGAGATGCAAAGTGTCTAATTAAAGGAAAGCGACTATTTGAAGCTATTAAAGAAATTTTTGTACTGCTAGGAGTGGAACCCAGGACATCACCCATGCTAGGCAAACATTCTACTGCTAAGATGTACCTGCAGCCCTCTTCTTACATTTTATTGGGAGATAGGGTCTCAGTAAGCTGCCAAGCCTGGCCTTGAACACACAGCTTTGCTGAAATCCTGTAAGGCTCTGTACTTGTAATCCTCCTCCTCCCTCAGACTCCCAAATAGCTGGAATTACAGGCCTGTACCATCAGTCTCAGACCCAGAATTATTTTCATGTGTGACAATGGCATGATGTTTTAAAAAAAAGTCTTTATCTTTTAAAGAAATATAATGCAAATATTTACATCTGAATTGATATATCTAGAATTATTTTCAAAATAATTTAGTGGAGCCTGGGAGAGGAAGCCCGTGCAGGGCAGTTGGTGGTAAGGAGGAGGAATGAAATACTGTGTCATGCATTGATAATTTCTGAGGCTGGATTATGGGAACATGGTGTTTGATCACACTCTCATTGCTCTAGGGTGTAATTAAAATGCTTCACACTACAAACTTTCAGTAGGCTTACATTCTTTAAGAAGAAAAAGACCAATTATTTACTGCCCAAGAAGAAAGGAAAATACAGAAAAGCACAAAACTCTCTCTCTCTCTCTCTCTCTCTCTCTCTCTCTCTCTCTCTCCCTTCCCCTCCCCTCTCCCCTCTCTCCCCAATCCTGGGAAGTGAACCCAGGGCCTTATGCATGCTAGGCAAGTGCTTTAACACTGAAATATATCCCCATACCAAATCTCGTTTCTTCTGTTTAATCAACATACACTATTTTTTTTTTAAAAGTATTTGTAACATTAATGCTAAAAAAAACCCCAAAATTTGAGACAAAGAACCTTACGCTGATTACAAAGGTCACTTTATTTGGACTGAATATACAAAGCAGAATGGTTACTATCATCTACTAAGCTCTTACCAGGGAAATATCAAGGATTCTTATTTCTGATACTTCCCACAACTGTGAGGCACTGTCACCAATTTACAAATGAGGAAAGTAAACCAAGATAGGTATGTATTTTTAATTAGTGTATTCTCAGTAAAATGCCTGGGACATAGTAGGTGCTCAATAAATATTTGTTGAATACATGAATAAACCTAATATCTTGTCCAAGGCTAACAAGCAGAGCCCAGATTTAGACCCAAATCTAAATCTAACAACCCCCATCCTTTCATTGCATAAAATATTTGAATACTGCTCCTTTATAGCAAGAATGTAGATGTTTAACTCCTTTGGCATGTTTCTCTATTCTCAGAGCTTATACATTTAGCATGTGCTATTTTTAAACAACAGAAATCACCAAATAGTAAATGCGTAGTAGTACTGAACATTTAGCCACTGACTAAACAAACCGCAACAGAAAAGCAGATGCTTTAGGTCTATAACGAATGGAAACAAAGTAAACGTGAAGATTTTAGTACATGAGTATCAACAAGCATAATGGATAAAGACAAATTACTTGCTATAATTTTAAATTCAGTAAAAATTGAATTTTAAATGTTAAAGACTATTAACTAGTTTCAAGTATCTATGAAAAGTTATAAAAACTGACCACGTTATTTTTTAAGTGTGTGTTCATTCCCAGAAGAGGATGTTGGATTACCTGGAGCTGGAGTTATAGGCACTTGTAAGCTGCCTGACCTGAGTTCTGGGAAACTAATTAGGTTTCTTTGCAAGACCAATATGCACTCTTAACTGCTGAGCCTCTAAAATTCTTCTTTAAAACATTTATTTATTTTATTGTGGAGGTATAACATGTGGAGGTCAGAGGACAACTTGTAGGAGTTGGATCTCTTCTTCCACCATGTTCGTTCTAGGGATCAGACTCAGGTTGTCAGGCATGACAGTAACTCCTTTATCCAGTGAGCCATCTTGCCAGCCCTAAACCAAAACTCTAGTAAAAGTAGAGATCTTAATATTTTCTGATTATGATAAATTGAATAGGGGAATAAGCTAAAGCACTCACCCAGAAATTAATGTCCTTTTAAATAGCCATTGGGTCAAAGAAATAAATAGCAATTGCGGTTTACTCATTGTCTATTTTTTAAAGTATGGTGCTAGCCATGTTACACATTCTATAATTTAATCCAAATTATTAATAAGCCATGAGGTATGATGATATGCACAGTTGAGATGAAGAGAGGGTGGGCGCTAATACTTTGCCCAAGATCACAAAAATAAAATAATGGAATCTAAGTCAAACTGCAAAGTACCTGCTGCCTGCACTCAGGCAGAAATGGTGTTACATCATTGTTACAATAAATGTATAGGTATCTAGCTTATCTCTTTGCATAAAATAAAATTTTGTAGTAAAAGTGGAGAAACCAGAGCTCTTTAACACATCATATTCTGAAAGTGTTTATTTTGTAAGTACATTACTCTCAGGTCATGGTTCATTTTCCTAATACTTCATTGAGTGGACACAATATTTCAAGTAAAATATTCTAAAAATGGTTCCTATGAATATATTTACTGTCAATAGGATCATGAAAAAGGGAAGAAAATATAAAACTAGATCAAGAAGGGAATAAAAAGCAAACATGGAGCTGAAGAGATGGCTCAGTGGTTAAGATCATTGGCTGCTCTTGTAGAAGACCTGGATTCAATTCCCAGCAACCACATGGTGGCTAGCAACCATCCATAACTCCAGTTCCAGTGGATCGGAGTCTGCTCTTCTGTCCTCCACAGGCACAGTACGACACAGGGGCACTTACAGACATGCAGGCATACCACTCACACACATAAAATAAAAATAAATAAAAAAGTAAACATGATTTGCCTGTGATTTTTTTTCTAAAAAGCAGTGTGACCTTGAAAAGTCATTGGGGGGAGTTCTTAGCTACAATCAATCCTAACAGTTCTGTGGCACTTTGGCCATCTTAGATGTGAGTCTGCCACTAGCTGTGGGTAAACCCCTAGGTCTG